CACGGGCGCACACACAGATTTCAGACTTGACATATTTGGTACCTATTCTACGCAACCTCATCTTTTCTAAAAAAAAAAAAAAAAAAATTGAGTTTATAGGAACTAAAATTAATGTGTGCATTTTTTTCCTGAAAATATAACTTTGATAAACCGCTGTGGAAATACCATGGAACGTAAAATATTGCAACTCCCATCTTTTTATGCTACAGATTTTAGAAAATATATACTTGTTTTGAGGTTTAGGTAATTTTTGGCCATAGATGCAGATTTTAACATTTGAATTAAAAAATGAAAATAAATTGCTCCAGAACCAAGGTAGTTAAAAAGCTAGTAATGCAACATTCAGACTACAGAAGTATGTATACAGAAGACAAAATACTGAAAGTATACAGAAGCCAACATTTAGTATAAAGCAGAGGAGGAGGATTAAAACTGCTTTTTTTGTGGGGGGTTGCCATTGTATCTCATTAGGAAAATCCCCCTTCACTTCCTGTCCTGTAGACTCAACAGCAAGTGAAAGGTTGTCTTTCAAATGTGAGGGATATATCTCCTCCGTTGTCACAGGAACATGTGATCACACTAGAAGAATTCCCATCTATTACTGTTCTGGTGGCAACTCGAAATTTTGTGACATTAGTGACCAGGATAGTTAGAGAGGGTGAAGATCCGCAATGGGGACACAAACAGCAATAAAAACTGACAGTGATTGCACTCTTTCCAACAACAACAAAAAAAGTTTTGCCTTGGGTCATACATAACTGAAAGCACGGGAATGTGGTTTTATATTCAAATGCAATACTAATGAACCGATCATATCAACCTGTAGAACCTCTAATACGGCTCTCACTTTCACAAGCCATTAAAATAAGATATTTGAGTACCTAGAGCAAGGGCAGGCAACCTTGGCACTCTAGCTGTGGTGAAACTACAAACCCCTTCATGCTTCTGCGAGTCATTACTTTGGCTGTGTCTTGCAATGCCTCATGGGACTTGTAGCTGCAGCTGGAGTGCCGAGGTTGCCTACCCCTGATCTAGAGAACAGTACATTAGGAAGGCACCATGAAGTTTGATAACATTTCTTACAATACATACAGAAGGAGGAACATATTTTCACACCAAAGCAAAGCAGGTCTCTACACTGTTGCTTTCTATATGAATGAAGCATATTTAAAAACTGGTTATTCAACTAACTCATCAGATACATTTCAAATATGTAAACAATAAAAGGGAAGTATAGTGGTGTGTTCTTATACTACAGTTGTTTTTTCTGTTAATGTCTTTTATATACAGTGCATTCAGAAAGCATTCACTTTTTTCAATTTGGATATGTTGCATCCTGATACTAAAGTTGTTTCAATTCTTTTTTTCTTTCTCATTAGTCTACACTCAGTACCCCATAATGACAAAGTGAAAACAGAATTCTAGAAATGTCTGTGAATTTATTGAAAAGAAAAAAATTGAAATCTCACATGTACTGAAGTATTCAGACCCTTTACTCAGTACTTTGTTGTAGCACCTTTGGCAGCAATTACAGTGTCGAGTTTTTTTGGGTATGACGCGACAAGCTTTGCACACCTGGATTGGGGGATTTTCTGCCATTCTTCTTTGCAAATCCTCTCAGGCTCAGTCAGGTTGGATGGGGACCATCAGTGGGCAGCCATTTCATGTCCAATCAATTTAAATTTACCACAGGTGAACTCTAATCAAGGTGAAGAAATATTTCAGCAACGATCAAGAGAAATGGGAGGCACCTGAGCTAAATTTCAAGTGTTGTTGCTAGGGCTGCAATCAACTAATCGATTATGAGAATAGTTGTCAACTATTCTCATTATTGATTAGTTGGTTGGATCCCCTAGATTTCCTCCATGCTGGAAGGAGGGCACAGCAAGCAGTGGGCGGGTGCAATAGCCACCCTGTTATTGGCTATTGCAATTTGAAATAGCTAATAGCAGGCTGGTTATTGCACGAGCCCACTACCTGCTGTATTTACATTCAGCTGCCGTCCGCGGAATCTTGCCACTGGCAGCTGTCATTCCCTGGGTGAAGCTATTCAAGCGCCATGTGCTTACAATACAATGATTAAAAAAAGTTACAAAAAAAAGGTAATTTTCGGTTTTAGCATGACAAATTCTGCTGCGGGAGGTGCATTGCAGTGCCAATAATTTCAATGGCACCTCAAATGCGCCTCACACCCAGTGTTAATCGCCTGCACTGGAACGCACGGTACCGCAATGCTGTGCAGAGCAATTGCAAAAAATTGTGCACACAGTTTTATTCAGAAGTAAACTTTAAGTTTGGAAAACTGCATTTGTGTATTTTAAATTGAGGATGGTATTACATTTTTTTTTAAATCCGATTAATCGAAAAAAACAAAATACAACTGGCCAACTAATCGATTATGAAAATAATCATTAGTTGCAAACCTAGTTGTTGCAAAGGGCCTGAATACTTATGACAATGTGATATTTCAGTTTTTCCTTTTTAATTTACAGACAGACATTTCTAAAATTCGGGGGTACCGAGTGTACATTGAGGAAAAAAAAAAAGAATTTAAAACAACACCTTCCAACATAACGACAACTATCCTAAGCACACAGCCAAGACAACACATGAGTGGCTTTGGGACAACTTTGTGAATGTCCTAGAGTGGCCCAGCCAGAGCCCTCAGTTGAACCCTATTGAATATCTCTAGAGAGACCTGAAAATGGCTGTGCATCGACGGTCCCCATCCAACCTGACTGAGCTTGGTTGGACCAGCAAAGAAGAATGGCAGAAAATCCCCCAATCCAGGTGTGCAAAGCTTGTCACGTCATACCCAAAAAGACTTGAGGCTGTAATTGCTGCCAAAGGTGCTACAACAAAGTACTGAGCAAAGGGTCTGAATACTTCAGTACATATGAGATTTAAATTGTTTCTTTTTATTAAATTCCCAGACATTTCTAGAATTCTGTTTTCACTTTGTCATTATGGGGTACTGAGTGTAGATTAAGCCCTCATTCCCACTGTAATCGGCCCGCGCGTACAGCTCCGTACCAAGCAGCTCCAGGGAAGGACAGGTGCTGCGTCTCATTAGTACAAACTCGTTCTGCCTGATGAAGGGGATCCTGTGTGACCCCGAAATGTTGCAATAAGTGTACTGTTTACTGTTGCATGAAACGTCAATAAAGAGAAGTTTTTCTACTTTGGAGTGCCGGTGTCCATAACTTCTTATACTCATTAGTACACAGCCCCCGTCCTTCTCTATGGGACTATGTACGCCCTGCACGGCCGCGTGGCTGAGCGTACTCGTACGCTGACAGGATGGATCCTGTCTGCGTCCGAGCCAGAAAACACGCACCCCTACGGACCTGCACTTGAGGTGAGCGTAGGGGGGAGTACGGCCACGTAGTCCCATAGAGAAAGACGGTGGCTGCGTACTAATCACACACAGCACCTGTCCTTCCCGGGACCTGCTCGAAACGGCCATGCACGCAGCACGGAGCTGTACATGCGGGACGATTACAGTATGAATGAGGGCTAAAGAGGAAAAAAAGAATTTAAACAACTGTTGTATTAGGCTGCAACATAACCAAATTGAAAAAAAGTGAAGGGGGGTCTGAATACTTTCTGAATGCACTGCAAGTATTGAGAATGCCAGTTCCCATTTATAAATGGTACAAAACACTATACAAGTAGACTTGCACAGAAACTTGTCACCACAAGGTGTCTAGCCAATGGCTTACCTAAGGGCCAGTTCACACCATATGCAGTTGTGATGCAGTCCGTTTATTTTGACTGCTGCAGTCAAAATACATCACAATGCTTTCCTGTGCGTTCACACCATTGCAGTCAGTTCGACTGCAGTCAGAAAAAGTACTGCTTGTCCGACTTTACCTGCATCTAACTGCACTAAACGCATCAAAACACTGAAACACAACGGACTGCATACAAAAAAAAACCAAAAAACAATTGATTGTGGCATCATCCAGGGGAAAAAACGCATCACAAACGCATCAAAACGGATCGCAGTGCAACTGACCAGACACACGCAGTTGTGATGCAGTTTCTGGTGTGAACTAAGCCTAATACTTAGGGCAGTGTATTGCCCCCTACCATCCATTTATTTGTTTTCCTCCACCCTTTTCCTTGTATACTGTACATTTCAAAATGTAACAAACTTATCTTGTGTAGGTGAATGCCCAAAGAAACCCTTAGGAAACAATCACAATTCTACACACACCCTAAAAACCATTACATTTAGTAATTTAGCTAATACCTAGCTGTATTAACTGATGTTTTATACCTTCATGGAGTTCAGCTGAAATCCCTTAATATGAAACCTAACACAATGAAAAAGTGCAACTGAAGCCCAAACTTCAGTGGAGAGGGATCAGAACATCGGTCTGGTTTTTATTACTGCCTGTGTCCTCGTAAAAGGTGGCCATACACTTTACAACCATCGCAAGACCTTAGTCTTGCGATGGTTGTAAAGTGATTAAAAAAACGTTAGCTCTGCCCATCTTGGACAGGCAGATCGTACTCTCGATCATCGCAAGCCTGCCCCCCTGAGGGGCGGGCTTCCCATGACCGCAATGCTGAACGGGCAGTGTGTGCGTGCGCACACCGGCCCGTTCGGCATTTGTCTCCTGAGCACCGTTCAAACCAGCGTGCTCCTTAGACAAAAGACGTGCAACCGTACAGTAGAAACGGTCGCACGTCTTCGTTCACACTGCTCGATTCTCGTACGATCGCGGGATTTCCCGCGATTCTCGTACGAGAATCGAACAGTGTATGGGCACCTTATGGGAGATTCAGCCCTCTTATTTATTCTGGAGATTTATCACTGAAAGAAAAAGAAAAGCCTACATTTTGGGTTGTCATCAGAACAGGAATAGATGGGAAATCTTTTAATAGGGTCACTAGTTCTGGTCACCAGGGATTTTTTTGGTTGCACACTGAATAAAATATTCAGCATATATAGGAAGTTAGGAAGCGTTTTGAGAATTATGAATCAGACTTACCGCAATCACAATAACACTGCTGTCTGGCCTCCATTCTGACAGCTTGTATGCTCCAAACTGGGCTGCTGTCTTCGCCGACTCCTTGTAACTGGCTACTAGCACACTGGGCTAAAACACAGAAGAAAAAAAAATGGTTAAGGAATATACAGTGTGTATGTGATTATATATACACTAAAATATATCTTTCCACTCCACAACTCACTACCTCAGTGTATTTGCAGTGAGAGGGAATCTGTTAGAAGCCGGGCTTCTAACAGCTCTAAGCAGGAATTGCTGGTATCCTGATACCTTTTGCTGTGGTTCAGGCCCCCAGAGAAGCGGAAGAAACCACTGCAAGGATTGCAGCAGGTCAGCACCTTCACAGGCTGGTACAAGTGATCGGACAGCTCTACAGCTACCCAGATCACTTGTACTCTAAAGCTCTCCGCCTGCTGTAAAAACCGATCCCAAGATCACAGCTGCAGCAGCAACCATGACCTTGGTATCACCACTTCAAGATCAATGTCAATGTACGTCCTATAATTTTATATATATATATAAAAATTTTCAAATATTTTTTGATGTAAATGCAGCTGTGCGCATGGGCCTATATCATACAATACTATTGCTTTCAGATCTGTAAAATAAAACTATTTGATTTATGGATCAGAATGCAGAGTTTTTTTTGCTGACGTGCATGAGCCAGAAGGGTAAAAAGAGCTGCCCAATGACAAGGATGCACTAGTACTAACACTGTTTGTGTGCCTGAAGTTCAGCTTTAATGTTAATAGTCTGGGCAAAGGTGTTAAGAAAGAGAATCAAGCAGTGGTACAAAAATTGTTTTGTTGACATTTTTTTTATTTTGGTAGCAAGTCAATTCTGTGGGGTAACAGGTTCTGCACCAAGATACATGATGGACTCAAAGAACACATGGTATCATTATGAACAAGTAGCACCAACTTACTCTACCCATCTACAGGGAATAGTGTCCCTTTTGCCTCGGGCCTGGTTCACACCTAGGCATTGTATTGCGTGGATTCAGTTGTGCGATAACGCGTAAAAAAAACCCACAAAAATCCATACCAGACAGTGACCACAGTTCCAAGTGTTGCGTCACGCAAAAAAGATGCAGGAGCAATTTTCAGGTGGATGTCGCGTGGTTTCGGTCCCATAGACATCTCTATGCATTAAGAACCGCGTGGCAAATCAGTCTGCGGTGGATCAGAGACTGGCACCAATGCTGGAGGGACTGCTGAATAGAAGTGGAAGGAAGAAGGTGTTCGGATCCAGAGGCATCATTTAAGGAAAGTCCTTAAAAGCAGCATGGAGGAGGGGGGAGTCGATGAGAAAAATATTTGTGACTTTAATGCCACTTTAAAAAAAAGGTACTTGAAAGCATTTTTAAGATTTAACTGCTGAGTTTAGTGTCACTCTAAAGAAAAACGATAAAAGATTAAATGGACCAACATAAATTGTGGTGCTCCTGCAAAAGCTGGCTATGGCAACAAAATCGGTAGAGGGCATCAATGGCGTGTCTGGGGAAAAGGAGTAGTAGAAGGCTTGTGTTCATAAGAGGTGTGCTGTATTATGCGCATCAAAGCTCTCCACCTTGTTCTGTGCCCATTACATTATAGTCTCCCTGTTACGCTGTAAATATACTGGATTACATATCCAAAACTGCTCTGGCACAAAAGAGTTCATATACAGCCAAACTTTTATTCAACCTCATTAAAACGGAGAAAGTCCTGGCAGCAGTATCAATATACAACTATGAATATACAACAGCTTCATTACATGGCAATGTTTCACTTCTATAACCACCTTTCCCCAAGCCAGATTGAAACCAGCAATGCTCCTGGATGAATATTGGATGTAAAATGAAATGCTTTGTGCTGGATCATTTTTTTCAATGGATTTTTCTCCCTGGTTTGCCTAAGGATGGCACTCAAGCATGAGACATACTCTAAAGTGCAGGATTACAAGGTGAAAATAAAGAAAACAGCTTGTAAAACAAACCTAATGCAGCCACAGCATCCAAGGACTAGTAAACTGCAATATATTTCTTTCTTTACATATCAACTCAACTCTCTTGCCTTCTCTTATTTCTGTTCACAATTCACTGGTTTTAGTTTTGAGGCAGAACTCATGTGGTAGGTGGGAGGGGAAGAAAAAGGAGTTGTTAAATCATTTTGAGCTGTGCGAAGGGGCATCATCAGTCAAACATGGCTAGATCTGCACAAACCTCAAACACAGCCCTGCTGACAAAATCACATAAAGTGCTTGCTAGAAGTAATATTTGGACATCAATAGCATAAATGCTCAACACTTCCTAACATATCAACAACAACAAAAAATTGCGAAGAGCTGTGCATTTGGGACAGATCCCGACAATATTGTCAGGATCCACCCCACTGACTAATTGACAGCTGGCTCCGCCTCTCTAGAGCAAATTCAGACAAATGGACACACGATCATTTCCAGGATAATACATGCAGCAGATCAGCAAAACAGTGAGTACACTGGATTTTTTTTTTTCTGGTTAGCTGAGAGTTCTGGTAAGTTGAATAACAGATAACTGAGAGTTTACTGTATTATCGAGATGTGTTTCCCATTTTTTCCACTAGTGTTTAATCTTAAAGATAAAACGTTAAGAGATTGGATGCATGGAAGATCTGGTTTTCTCCAACAGAGGCACAATACATTTTGGCAGGCCTGGTTTTATTGGAGGAATTATTCCACTTCCCTGGAGTATAAGGCACTCCTGCACTCCTCATCAAGTTTCTATCCGAATGTTACACTTCTACTCTTTACAGATCTTACCCTTTTCTTTTTTTTTCTCCTATTTATTGTTTTTTTGTTTTCTCTTTTTACTTCCTTTCCCAGTAATTCCCTTGTTTGGTTTTAAAGATGTTTTAAAGACATTTAAAGATGACAGCTAACAAACAATCTAAATACAAGAGGCATGTGTATACTTGTATCTTGGTGTCCTTTGTGTACTTCTTCCAGATCTATGTTGTAATCCAGTATTAATGCCCAGCATTTGTAATGGTCAGGCTGCATAAACAGTAATAAAAAATGGGTGTATTTTTTTTCTTACTGTACTGGTGTGCTGCAGCAACAGGAAAAATGCACTTTACTGGCAACATGCTGAAGATTTGGACAGCTGCTAATCGGCGATCCGACATTCCCCCTGCCCAGTGTTCCAATCAACAGTACGTAAAGTGGAACTTTTACCCCCTTTCACTAAAACAAAAATCACATCAGCGTGCAGCTCTGCATGCTGATATGAAATCACCTTATATTCATTAGTTAAACATATTTTTCTTTTACTTCCAATTATTGGATTTCCACTTATTGGTGCTATTGGGCACAAATTATGTAAATGTGTCCAAGTGTTGCATCCTGGGAAGGGTACATCAGCAGAGCATTGCTGGGAAATCTCATCTGTAATCTCACAAGATCTCAGGAAAAGGCATTTTCCTCCCCTGAGATGATGTGCATGGTCACATGTGCCAGAGTTCCAGGAAATAAAGGAAGATTAAAAAGGAGAACTATGGGGTTAGGGCTTTTCCCCATAGTTCTCCTAAGGGTAACGGGAGGACACAAACAAGCGTCCTCCCGTCACCCTAAGCTCAGTATTCCGCCAGTATACCGCTACAGCTCGCGGTATACTGAGACGCTGAAACGGATCCCGACAGTTATGTCTGGATCTGCCCAGCTGCGTGAGTGACAGCTGGCTCTGCCTATCTAGAGGATCGGAGCGGGGAGGGGGGGAATCCAGCCCCACCCTTGTCACGGCTCTCTGCCGTGACAAGATCGAGAAGTGAGCGAACGCCGGTATGTGTTCGCTCACTTACCGATCTACTGAGCCGACCTGTGACAGTTTCATTGTCACAGGTCGGCTAGAACTAGTGAAAAGCACTCACCTCACAGTTCTCCTTTAATCTATCTATCCTCAGTAAACATGGCCACTGCCAGAAGACTGGGGAAGAAAATAAAAATAAGGTATGCAAAGAATACAAAGCCGGCAATTATCTAGAAGTATCTGTTTGAAGATTGTCATTACAAACATTTCTAAAGTTGTATTTGTTGTCATTTCAAAGACATGGGTAAAGTTCCTTTTTAGGCTCACTGAGTTGTGCAGGGGCTGCATCTGACTTCTGGAGACCCAGACTGCTACACTCTGCGCAAGGTTTTTATTGCAGTTTTCATCCTGCTAGGTAGATTTGCCCTTTCTCTATTTGTTCTGATGACAACAGTTAATAAGACAGAAAGCATCACCAAGTGGTTAAGGGTGAGATCCTGGCTGTATTTTCCGTCAGGGGTGCCTAGATAACAAAAGTCATAGGAAATAATAAAAAATGATTGGCAGCTCTATAGTTATGCACAGGATTTCAAGTGTGTATCAGCATGATTGGAGTTCACATTTATATTAACTGTAGTCAGTTCATTTTAAATGAATTGTAGTGTTCTAGGAGTGAAAGGGACAAAGTTGCCACATGATTAGTACACAGGTTTCTATGCTACCGCTTAAAAATGCAGAGTATGCTAGAGCTGAACTTAAAGAAAAAAAGAAAATACAAAACAGGGGCTTTCCGACATGTCAAAGTAAAAATGGCCTGAAGAAGTATACCTACACTGAAAAGTGTGACGTGCGTAACAATTCTAGAATATTTCCCTGCCTTGTGTAACCTAAAGATCATGACCCTCCTCCTTCCTTCAGTACACTCAGTTATTCTTTACACATTTAGGGCTCCTTCACACCAGCAGCCGTACTTTTAAAAACTATAGGTCTACTTTAAACCAGAGGAAAGCACTTGATCGAGCCGCATTGCACTGGTTTTCTTTTTTAGTAGAACTTTATTAAAATGTCACAAGTGGAAAAAAAAAAAAAAAAAA